GAAAATGCATCGTTTATGTGGCATAATGCATTCGCATCTGTGTGTCTCAAAAGGCTTTTCAGCCGCCGTGTACTTTTGCTTGGGCAGCTCCTCAAGGATGCTCCACTGTAGCACATGTTGCCATTGCCGCAGGCACACACACACACACCCAAGCCGCTCCCATCTGTACTCCACACCTCTCTGTCGAGGGGGGAGAGCTCGGTTGAGATGTAATTAAATTTTTGCTTTCATAATTTGATGCAATTTTCGTGTGCGGCACGCGAAAATTGAACGGAAACTGGCTGGGATTTGGTCATATACCCTAGATCTATGCAAAATGCGTGATAAAAAGGGTATATAGTAACAGACAATCTGCAGTCAGGCTCTTTCCAGTAGTACTTGTTTGAGCAAGAAATAATTCCTCAATGATTGCTATTGCTATAGCCAAGTTCATTAAGGCAGATACAATAAAAGTAGAAAATCTGTAGTCGAGCTTGCTTTGCTGATTATTAGCACTACCACTGCTATTGTTACAACTAATGCTATTGATAATACTAATACTATTCTTATACTAATATTATTGCTAATACTAATAATATTTATACTACTTAGTCAGACCCAAATCTGAATTTTTTCTTAATAAAAACTCAAGTATAATTTATTAATTAAATTGCATATTATTTACATATTCGGGACTCATAAAATTTAGCTGCTTCTTACTATTCTTATCACGAATTCTTGTGAATCATATAAGATATATATAAATTTTTTTCATATTTATTTAATATTTATTTTCGTGAATTAACTCCTTGTCCAATTTAGCAAAGAGTTTGCATTATATCATACGAATATATAAATTTTCCTAATGAATGAAGAACAAACCACATAAACACACACCATTTAAACACTTTCATTTTAGGGCCCAACACGAAATGACTTGAGAGATGACACTAATAAAATTAGGAAGTAGAAAATGAGAATGAAATAATTGTACAAGGTGGACTTGACCATGAGGGGGTTATTATTAATAATCAGTATAGCAACAATTTCTTTCTAGTTTTTCAAAGAGGTTCTCCATATATTGAACACGATAACATTGAAAACCCAGAAACCTTCCTAAAATCCGACGGGTATCAAGTATCTGATTCCACTGCTAAAATGGTAAACGATGACTGAACTAGGTTTTACTTTTATTTTTCGTTCACAAATTTGCAAATTCCGTCGGCATGTCAAAGCTGTGAGAGGGTATTTAGCAATCCGTCAGTGCCACACAGCTGACTTGAACTTTCTTTTAATTTCAGTGTGAATTGTTCTAATTGTTTTTCAGTTGATTCAAGTTTTTTTAATTCGAGTGCCATATGGAAGCCATTAGAACAGGTTCCCAGCTGGCTGCGCCGCACCAATTAACAGCGATTTGAGTGGAACTGGCGATTGTTAAGGGAGATTTAGTTAGTCGAGGCTTTGCCAGCTGACTAACCGCCTGCTGCAAAGTTTTTCAAAACAACTTTTTATTTTTAGCCCGACTTAGGTTTTTGAGCTTTTGACTAGTATTAAAGGCTTCACAGCTCACAACAATTTACCGAATTGGTGTGTAAAGTGGGATTCTATAAACAAAAGCAGAAAAATATTAAATTGGCACACTGTTGGAGAGAAGTAAATTTTCATAAAAGTTCTCTGATCCATTTACAAATACGTCCTTTAATATTCAATTAAATCAAAGTCCCATTTGGACAGCGAGTGTTTAATTAGGAGCGAGGCTGTATGGGCATGCCGAAATTTAAGTCAGGATAGGATTAAGGAATTTGCACTCTAATCCACGCCAAATACAAACAAAAGCGGCATGACTAACCCCCATTTGGGCAGGGCACAGCAAATTGGCCAACTTAATAGAGGAAGGCAGGAACAGCTCATGAGCAATAATAATTGTATACTAGATGTGCTCTATTCCTATTTGTATTGTATGGAATTGTGTGTGAGTCAAGGCGAAATGCATGCATTCATTTATTTACGCGCCGCAGGACACTCGCACACACACACACACACACACACACACATACGCATACATTCGTTCATAACTCGTCAAAGCGTTTTGCATGAGCGCGCAAAATGCGAAAAGGAAAAGCGCCGCAAAGAAAAAGGAAAACAATCACAATTCAGTTGGGTGTCGAAGTGCTTCGGGCACGCGACCATCAACCAACGTTGCTTTGTTGTTGCTGCTGTTGTTGTTGCTAATGCCCTTGCTGTGCACAGTCGTAGTCGCATAGTTGCTGGTGCATAGCGTCAATGCTACAAAGGGTCATTTTCCACATAGGCACACACATTGGCATGTGCGCCATGGAAATCACAATGCAAGGCACTGCAACCACCCGAACACACACACGCAGAAGCAAACACACGCACAAAAGTCGAACGGAATCGAAGCCCGAAAAAATGTAGCCAGGTGCATTTGCAAACACTAACCAAAATGTCGTAGGGTGCACACACACGAGCCAAAAGCAAACGCAGGCCGTAAACGTAAGCCAGCGCAGGACATTAACCGAGGGGGACGGGGCGGAACAGCGCAGCGCAACGAGCCCCTGCTTTACAGCTGAATATAAACCAGAGCTCTGGCGTAGCGCGATTCCGATTTCGATTCCGCGCTCTGAGGCTGTTGCTGATTTCGAAAGCGCTTTAAAAATTGTTTTAGGGCGCCTTTCGCTCTTTAGGGGTGGCTCGAACTGCAGCCGCATATATTCCAGAGTCGTATATCCGCATGTCACTCACAGTGCACACTGGGCTGGAGGGTGCGAACTGGGGTTGAGGCATTGCAGGGATCATATATATGTATGTATTTAAAAAATATATTTCATTTTTACCCCGCACTTATTGTCTACAATATAAAATTCCAATTGGACGCGTTTACCGCAAAAAAAGGGGCGAACCTTTTCAATTTTATTGCATTGTTATGCTTATGCTTGCATAAGGCATTTTCACTTTGTCACGAAATCTGTGACACACAGAAAAAACCAGCTCTGGTTCCCTAAAGTCAAAACATTGTGGATCAGCTTTGATCATGCTCAACTGAAAGCCTCCCAATGTATATTATATTATATTATATTATATACTTGAGACACACATCAACATTGGAATCCACCTATGTACAACTTTCTAGGCAACTTTCTACAATATTCATTAATTATTGAATGAATATATTTTGTTCTGCTTATCGAATTTATCCATTGAAACCATTTTGAATTTATTCCGAATTTTACCTTAACAACTACAAAATCCCATACTCGCATGGTAAATTTGTATAGTGTATCTGTAATTATAAACTTTAATATACTTTGATATTATAATAGAGTATGCCAATTATTGTAATATTACTGTATTTTGTAACGTGGTATCGCATTATAGTGTGTAAAATAGAAATGGTGTAGTATATTACTAAACAGAGTTTTCCTGTAAAAACTCTCTATATATATTAATTTCCTTCATATATATTATAATACTTCTCTAATAAAAGATTACTATATTTCCGCTTATGTAATGTAAAGTAATAATTCCCAGACATAAACTAAACAGATACAATCGACATATGAATATCGAAAAACACCTGCAATATTAAGAGTATAAAATATTCGTCAAGCTCAATTCTAGCTTTGGTTTGTTTAAATATTATGGTCGAGCCGGCACCGCCTAACAAGCAAAGATCCTGTGCAAGATTTGCCTTCGACGTTGGCAGAAGCATCGGCATTGAGGTAACCGAACCGAGCGTCGTCCTCAGCGTCAACGTCAACGTCGACGTCAACGTCGGCGTCGCTGCTGTGTGAAAATTGCACAAGTTGCGCTTCTGCTTTTGACAATAGCCTCACATTAACTAGTTTCCGCTGCAATTCCAATTCCGTAACCACCGCCGCTGCCCCCACCGCCTCATCGCGGCTCGTCCGCCACTTTTAATGAGTAACTGTATGCCAGAGCTGGGAACTGGGAACTGGGAACTCGCAACTGGCAACTGGCAACTGGCAACTGAGAAGTGACAACGGCCAACAGTGAACTTCATTACAAAAGCACCCCATTTGCGTTGGCCTGTGCTGCTGTGCCGTTTCCTGTTTGGTTTGTTTCAATTAAATCGCATGTGCGACCCACAGCACAAGCACAAGCACAAGCAGAAGCAATGGCAGGCCAGGAGGCCAGGCAGTGCAGGCAGGACATTGCTTGGCACATGGCTCATCTGTTACTTAATCATGGCATTGCCATGGATACCTCGGCCCCGCTGATGAGGGTGTGTGCCTGCACTCGCACGCTAATTCCACTGTCTATTTATGCAGCTTCAAGGATATGCCTGCAACTGATGACCCCTTACTCCAGTATTCTATTGAAGGGATTGTCTCTCCCAATGTCATTTTAAAGACATGAAATATCTGCACAAATATGTCACTCAGATATACAGATGGACAACTCACGGATAGTCACTTCTTATTTCAAAACCAACTATCAAATCTAAGCACAAGTAGCAGTTTCACATCAAATACAAATCACTCGTAATTAGGATACTTACTTGGAATGAGCTGGAACACATTGAATGTAATCTTTTGTGAATAACTTTTGTGTTTCTCACCGAATTTCAATGACATCCTAGGCATATGATCTACATATTTTATTGTATGTTTGACGAATTCTAAATCTCTCATTCGATCGACTCCGCCCATTGTCGTGTTATATACATATGTATACATATGTAGTTTATAGAATGTGACCCGTATCCTTCTGCCTGCTCAACAAATCCCTAATACCATATCATATATATCAATTCAAAGTATACAGAGCATTCAGTATTAATCTAAATTTTCATTCACTTCCATGCCTTAGATTAAAATTTACTCGATTAAATTAGCAATTATTAAAACATTTATTGATATTAGGTAGAATTTATACTTAGTAGTATAATATCAGAGTAAATTATATAATATCGCTTTATATATAGCATATAGATTATTCTGGAATACTGATACATAAGTATGGGGTCTTACAGTCCTCTCTTGTTTTCAAACTCATCTGCATTCATTAGCTATGGGCCCTAATAGAATCCATAATTGTAGTCGTAGTCGTAGGTTGGGATAACTGTGTCATTGCTCCAGCCCAGCTGATAGCGCAAGAATGAGTCCAAGCCGGCAACGTCAACACCCAAAGTCCGCAGTCGGTTGGCGAATGCTTTGGCCTGTGTCGTGGCCAGGAAGCGTTCGTAGACCGGCTTAAGGCCAACCACGCGCTGCCAGAACTCGCCGAACACGGCGCTCTGCTGGGCACTTGTCTCGAGCAGATTGCGAATGGCTGCCAGTGGATAGATGAATGAGAACTCCTGCCCGAAGCCGCCTATGCCGTTCACTGACTGCGCCCAGTGGGGGTACTTGTTGAGCACCTTGATCTCCAGCTCCAGGTCCTCGAACACCTTGAGTGAGCCGCCCGAGAGGATCAGCTGCTGGGACAGCCACTGCAGGAATTGACGCAGCTCTGGCTGATTCAGAAGCTGCATTCGCAGACGATACGTTGGCAGCGAGTTGATCTCCCGGATGAGTGCCTGGAACTCGGCATCGTTCAGCAGATAGGCCTGAACCAGGTGCTCGATCTGCTTATATGGCACATTCCGCAACACACTCCTCAGCTCCAAGTAGAAATTGCTTGCGGGTGCAGTGGGGTTGGCAACTGCTGCAGGTGCTGCCGGAGCGGGGGCGATTGCCGATAGTCCTGTGCCGAGGCAACAGATCGCGGTGAGAGCTATTGTAACGAAATGCATTCTATTAAACGTGCTAGTACTTTATACTGCCTGAAGCCGACCTAAGGGCTTTATATAGGTAGATGCTTATCTTGTCTTGTTTTGATTTCGCTGGCTGAGCATATTTGTTGTAAGAAATTTGATTTACATGACTCCGTTATCAAACCTTATCAGCATCAAGCGTTTGCTTTGCCAAAGCTTCAGACCACATGAATGTAGTGGGAATAGACAAAGTCTATTTGTCTGTCCCCCGATGCCAAGATAATCAAATTTACAGTCTTAGTCATCTGCTATAAGCAGCTGTTAGCCACTCATGTTGCTAGCCAAGAGCCAAACCGGATTTCTGAGAAATGAAAAGTGTGAATTGATTCACTGTTGGCCTTTTCATTGATAACTTCTTTTTATATATATAGAGTTTGTATTCACTTGCCACGAAATGTCTAGAACGTCAAGAATATCTATCATCGTACCTAAAGAGATAATGATAATAGTTTTTCCTGGGAGAAAGGTCTCACAATATTTATCCGATCAATCAAGCAATTCAATCTCGATATCCTGAAACCAATTGAAAATAGCAGATCAGGATATAATTATTCTATCAACATGATTGTAACAGCCACAAGGAGGCGTGACAGAGTATATTTATCTTTGAGCATGAAGACCAGATAGGGCATTTTGAACGCGTTGATCGACAAATTTGACTAATTCCATATCAATGTGATGGATAAAAAATTCGATTAGATGTTTTGTTTCCTACATGCTAATTATTTTCATGCATGGTTTCTTAAAAACAATTTAAACGGGATCCACTTGCTCAGGGTGTCTCATATTCGGGATCTTTTTATACCCTGAACCCATTGAAAATGGGAAATCAGGGTATAATAGTTTTGTTTTTTATTAATTTTTTTATTTATTTTTTTTTTAATAAGCTGTTTATTTACTAGTTGGCCAAAATATGTTTCTTATCAAAGTTCGACTCTTATTCGAAAAACATTTACTCATAGTTTGTTGATTTGCTAAAAGATAACTGTGCTTTGAAGACCGTAGAAAGTTCCACGCCATTACGTGGGCTTTTGGTTAGGTAAGATAAATGCAGCTTATAAGTTTATACAGCAAAATAGATTAAATATTTTCTAACAATGCTCAATTTAAATTTAGCCAATGAATAGCCGAGGGCTTTTCTCGTATAATTTGTTTTTTTCAAACTAACTCATATGCAAATTCCAGCAAATCAAACCCGACAAAAACATCATATTGTCTAATGAGTTCTAGATTCTGAAATTGGAAGCCCAACTTTTATGACATAGAATTTTGGCTACATTCGGCCCAGTCTCACCGCTAGGGCAATACTCATTAGTTCCAGTCGAAGGGACTTGTCGGTCGGTAAAGAGTTCGTTACGCTCGCGCATTAGAAATCTAGAAAGCAGGACGCAATTCGAGGCGAGCCCATTGCATGTGGCTAGTAACCACAGCGGCCCGGTCCCCTTGCGCACACAGATGGACGGATAACTAGGGAACTGGAAACGAGCTGTTTCAATGGGAGTTGCAGTTGCAACAGTAACAACTCGGATGGTCAGATTTTTAGATTTTTGGTGGCGTCGGCGCTCGAATTTGGACCAGATACATATATTGGATTTCATGCAAATTATGTGCATAGAATAGCAGCAACTAAATAACGGAGTGCTAGTCTAAATTGTATAGCACACACGCACACACACACACACACACACACACTCACGCACGAAGTGGCATGCATATGGATTGATGCCACCCCAAATGTTGTTTTGGGCCGACCAACAGGGGGTTGATTTTTGGACTCTCGGGCAATAGCATAAGCATTTTTCGGCCAAGGGCGATCGCAGCCCTCGAATGCCAAAGGGGGCAGCAGAAACCAACGGCAGCTGCAACACTCACGTACATGCACACACACAGATACACGCGCACACACATGCAGTGCTTGGATAAATCATGTGTAAAGGTATTTTGATTTTTTACCCCGACGCGATAAGCGAATTGCAGCAGCTGCCGATGCGGGCAGCGGCGGCACAACTTCAGATGGAAAATCGACAACGAACATCAAAAAAATCAAACAAATTACACAGCGAATGGTCATAAAAAGAGAGACTATTTGGATATTTGTTGCCATGTAAACTATGTTAGGAAGGAAAACAAGAGCGACTACAAATTTTTAATTGATTTGGCATGCTTCAATTTAACGCTTGGCTGCCACTTCCTTTGCAGCGCGAGTCCTTTTTGCATACACGTGCACGGGTCCTTTAATTGCCCGTTTTTAGTTGATTGTAATTTTCAATATTTTTGTGTATGAAAACGAGGAAAAGGAAAATGCAGTCCCCGCTCTGACAATCGCTTCCGCTTTACAACACGCCAATGACTCACAGCGCTCGGAACTCCTGATGTCCTTCACAGAGACTTAAGCGACGGAACTGCGAGGCGGTGACGTTGACGGCGCCGTCGGACGATGGCGCAATGAACGTCGCCTTGTCAGCGCAAGTCCAGATCCTGCTACAGGTACCACACATACACAAGTACATACCTTGCTTTCAGTCAGAGTCTCTTCCTCATTCCCAATTGGAGTAGCTGCCTTGGCACACGTCGCGGCTGAAAGAAACCCTCGACTGTCTTGGCTGCTTTTGTTTAGGGGTTGCTGGCGGCAGAGCAGTGGAAATCCTTATAAGAAACATTCCGAAGGAAGCGAAGCAACACGTTCAAGACATTGTTGAGTCACCGCAGCCCCTTTTTGCGGCGGCATTTATGTGCTTCGCTGCCGACCCTTCTCAGTTTCAGTTTCAGTTCCAGTTCCAGTCTCGGTTTCGGTTTCAGGCTCAGGCTCAGGCAGAGCCGCTGCTCGGAGCCGCCTTTCTTATAGGAACTGCAAGGTGCCAGCCCGCCTTTGTGAGGTGCTCGCTCAGCTTGCCCTTTTGGGTTTTCATTCAACTTTCGTCACTTAATTGAGTTGCGGCGCCGCAAGAAAAAAAATGAAAAGGGAATGAAATAATAAAAGGCAAGGAATAGGGCGAACGCAAAAGGGGCAATTCCTTTGGCTGGAAAGTGCCAATTGTAGGTTTCACTTTAGGCAGCTACAAATTGAAATGCCCGCAGAGAGTCCCTGGCGCTGGCTTTTTATCCATGTGCCTTTTGCTCAGCCATTGTCTTCGGCGTCCTCACCTTGAGTGTAGTTCCTTTTTATGCTTGCTCTGCACCAGGGAAGCCATTAAATTGATTATAAAAAGTCTTCGAAATGTGTAAACACAATGTCAGACAGCTTGTCGCCAGAGCGAGAGTCTTGAGCAAGGACACGCTCTCACTGCCTCTTCCTCTCTTTCCATCTCTCTCTCTCCCTCTCTATCTCTTCGATTCGCTTTGTCAGCTAAGGAATGCTACTAATTACATGGGCGTTGCGGAGCCTGCCGAGGAGGACTCGTATGCGGATTGTGACTTGGGTCTTAAGCAGCGAATGATTCCAACAATGTGCGCAGTAAGCGACAACTTAAGGGTTTATCAATGGCAATAATGGAAACGGCAAGAGCTAAAGTGGGGGGCGTGCCGAGCTGCTTGAAGAAGGACGACATTTGAGTACTGGAGAGGGAGGTCCTTGCACACTAAGCGTGGGCAATTATTGGGCTAGCTTTAAGGTTGCCTTAAGCGTCCTGTTAACAGTTTCATGGGCAAAATGATAGCTGTTGTCATTTAAAGAAAGATTTTGATGAGATTTCTCTCGATTGCTCACGCCTCATCAATTAATTCAACTAATCAATTCCTTTGAAATTCCGTTGCTATCTCACCGCAGCAACTTCAACGGGTGCCGCGTGGCAGGCAGCTGCTAGCAATCCGGCGGAGAAATCTGTCATGCTGTTGTTCATGTCTAGGACCAATTCCAGGTACGTAGTCATTTGCATGTTCACGGCTTGTTGGCCAGCACACGTGTTCGATTCTACACGGACTTTGGCTTATTTACATGAGGGGCGGGGAGGGGGTCGAGTAGATAAAGCTCGGCACCAACTGTTCCATGTCTGTCATGCATGTATTTATTTATTTATGCAAATATGGAAATTAAGCTAACAAACTGCGCGGCGGGCGCTGCGCAAGCGCAAGCCGAACGAGAGAGCGCGGGTAGAGTTAGGGGCGCATGGCACGATCCAGAACACGTTCCAAAGGCAACCCCCGGTTAGATAACGGCACACACACACACGCATAGACACATACAGGCAGCTCGTAAATGCGTTTTTACATAACATTTACGGCTCGACTGCACTTGGGCTTTGTCCGTGTGGCAGCTGCCGGCGCTGGCTTTGCCAAAAACGAGTTTATCCTTATCCAAGGCGCGGTCCATGGTCGGGCCGAGGCTCGCGTGCCACCAGCCCCTTACCGGCTCACCCCATTGCGACACACCGTGGCATTTGTGCTGCAGTTTCAGCTCATTTCGATGCTCATAAATAACGACAATGGCGGCGCGGATGCAACAGAAACTCGAATAATAAAAGCAACCGAGATCCCCAGGTATTTTTCACGTGTTTGGCACGTTTCACTCGATTTTCCGGTTCTCGATTCCCATTCGGCATTTGTTCCTCAGACCTCTAATCCTCTGAGGCGGTCGGGGAACGGAGAGCGGCGCACGCGGCACGCGCCCGTCCTCTTTGTGATAAATTGGGCTTTAAAGCAGGGGTCCACGGCCGAATCCAGCCAACTCCATTGATAAATTGCCAAAGCTGTGCCAATGGACAGCCAAACTTTAGGTTTCCCTCTCCCTCTCGTACGTCCCTCACCTCCTCTCCCTTCTGTCTCCACATGGCAACATGCAATTGTTTGCTACATTGTCAAATAAATCTTAGTTCCGGCTGCGAGTCTCTTGTTTTATTTACAAAGTCGGCCAATTACATTAAGTTCACTGATACGCCTATATCATTTGTCAAAGTCGGCAGATACACAGTGTTTGCTGTGTGATATTACGTATATGGACTTGACAATAAATAAATATTTATATATACCTTTCATTTATTTATCTTTATATAAGTAGATACA